AACATTTGTAATTACCTTTCATTGTTTCCCACTACACTGGTGTTTCATTTACAGTAATGAAATAAAACCTCAGTTTTAAAGCAACACTTTTTTCTTTTAATGTGCTGTTAAAAATGTTAAGTACCTTATGACAAAAATAATGAAGATGGTGTATTTGGGGGAGTCCTAGAGAATAGATGATCGAGTGACCAGTTATTTTAAGAAGAAAGAACAGCAGGAGGGGTGCCTGTGTGGCTCAGTCATTAAGCATCTGCCTTCGGCTCCGGTCATGGTCCCAGGGTCCTGGGATCAAGCCCTGCATCGGGCTCCCTGCTCAGCAGGTAGCCTACTTCTCCCTCTCCCACTCCCCCTGCTTGTGTTCCCTCTCTCGCCATGTCTCTCTCTGTCAAATAAATTAAATAAAATCTTTAAAAAAAATTTAAAAAAAGAAAGTGAGAAGACAGGAGCTCTAAAAAGGCTGGAACAGCGAGCTGTTGGGTAAAAGGAGAGGGTCTCTAAGGATACAGGAAAGTAGAAGGAAATAATGAAGGCTGAGTCCGGCTGAATGTGGAAACCAAGTGTGACAGTTACTTGGCCTGCAAAGCAGTGGGGAGCCAGGGGAAATTTTCGGGAAGTAAGTGACATCATGGTCAAAGTGACAAGCGAGAAAGGGGATTTTCTCAGGGACATTTAGACCTTCGTGGAGAAGAATGATGACAAAGGGCAGAAATCCAGTGAGGGGAAGGTTACAGTGGTCTAGTGATTAAAAGACTGAACATGGAATTATCCAGAATGGCTCACGAGAAATAAATCTCATGTGTCAAAGAGAAAGTTGAAGCAGGCTTTGTGGTCATGTAAGAGTAGAGAAAGGATGCAGAGGACAGAAGATGGACAAGTGCTAAAGCAAGACTGGCCAGAAGGTGCTCTCTGCAGTAGTAAAAATGTATTTTGCTATAACAAACGAAACCACAGGAAAAAATCCGAGCATTGCTTGTGTTTCAACAGTCCCAAGACTTTTTAATGTGGCTTTATAGGTTGTATCATCTAAAAATGAACCTGTCCAGAAAACACTAAGTTTTCTGAACAAGGGAACATTTTATCAACAGCTAAGTGGTTTGTCGTGAAAATGACTTAAGACAAAATCAGACAACCTGATTTCCAGTTCCCCTCTTACAGAAATGGTGCCAGGAGTTCCCTTAACCTCTCTGAATAGGATTAATACCTACCTTGCTTAAACACCTAGTTTTTATTTATGTATTCATTTATTTAACACCTAATTTTTATAAGAATCCCATTAAATGATATATGTTTGTGTCCCTTAATTAAAGGCAATTTCCAGCATTACCATTATAGAATTAAATTCACCATAGCAGAGCATTTTAGGGTTACATATATTGCATTTTACCTGCTGAATTAGTTTCTGAGATATGAAAAATATAGTGCAATACTCCGAACATGCTTTTGGCAAGACTGCAGGAGAAAAACATCTGTGTTTATCAGAAGAGTGGGATAATGTAACAGAGGTACGAGAATGATAGTATGCGGGCTCCCAAGCACTGAGAGAAAAATCGGCATGCCACAGAAGGAAGAAGATGATGGGAAGGTGTGAGGAAATACAGAAGTAGAGGCGATGAGAACACAAACTGAACCCATATTAGACATGGCGGTGGTTATTCTTCATCCATTATCAGGGAGCATTTGAAGAGAAAAGAAACAGCCCAAGACAGCTCCCTTGCGGTACATTCTTGACCTGCTTCTTGCTCTGCGCTCGCACAGCGCTGCAAGAAGATATGAGAATGATGTTGGTACTCACCACCCGTGAATCCCCTTTCCGTTGCAATCCTGTTTCTGAAAGTTACAGGTAAAGAAAGACGGAAGCCAAATGCACAAGTATCATTTCGGTGCAAGAAGCCTGCCTCCTTTCTCGTTTGTGGCTGTAAAAGATAAACAGAAGGACACGGAGAGGCTCTTTTCCGTCCCTCCTCAAGCCCAGTGCCTGTGCGATCTGAGCGGTCAACTGCATGTTTCCAGGCATTTGAGTTTCGCTGGGGGAGTCCTAGTGCTGCCAAGGCCAAGCCACTTCCGAGCTAAATGGAAGAGTAGGGATAAATGCAAATGGCTGGGAGGTACAGAGCATCAGCAAAGCCCATCCTGCTAAGGCATCTCAGCCTGAGTGTCCTCAGCTGCCCATCCTCTCACTTCTAGCCTCCCTCTCCAGACATGGGTGCCTCCGGCTAGCCAAAGTTCACTCTCCTGTCACACTCCCTTCTCTAAGTCGTGTGTGCTCCTGGGCATAAGAGATCTAGGAAGGAGGAAGGGAAAGGAGTCCCTTTGGGGCACAGGGTTCTTCTACCTCTTCCAAGTTTTCTTCCACTTTGTAATCAGTCATGGAGTGAGTAAATGGTATCACGGGGGGTATAATAATTCTCTTGATTAGCATGTCTTTCAAGTTCTTCCTACCCTGTCTGGTAGAACCCTCCAGCACAGCAGGGTAGCTGCATGAGTGCTCCCTTTGGATATGGACTGGTGTTTTATGGTTTGGACCAGAGTGGAAGGGATGCTGAACCTGTTCCAGGCCCAGTCTTTACCAGAACTGATGATCTTCTAAATTGGACTCTTGGACCACTGAGCCATCATGTAAGAAGTCCAATGACCTACTTGAGAGGTCTCCATTGACCTACATGGAGAGACCATGTGCTACATGAAAATAACCAAAGGCCAAAGAGGGGCACAGCTGAGTTCAGCGCCCCCTTGCACGTGTACCAGACATGCAAGTGAAGCTATCCTGGGGCCACTAGCCAACGTGGCCACCATCTGAACCTACCATGTCACCCCAGCTGTCACCAGGTGGGGCTGAAGAAATCACGCATCTTAGCCCTGTCTGAGTCCCTCACACACAAAAGCATGAGATTTCATAAAATGGTGGTTGTTTCAGTTATGGGTTAGTAATGTGGCAATAGGTAACCGAACAGTACCCCTTCACATTTTACATAAATTGCTACATAGTCACAATTAAAATTAATTTTTCATCATTTCCCCTCTTAGCTACACATAAGTCTCCAGGTACTTTTCTTCCAAATGATAAGCAACTTGTGTATTTCCCCCAAGAATCTGATATGCAAAACACATTCCTACTGAGGTCTTAAACAGTTTAAAGCCATATGGTGAATTCCCCATGCACAATTCAACAAAATAAATGATGAAAATAGCATGAGCTCCATTTCAGAAGTCAATGGGATGGTGATAGTATTTACAAAGCATGGCCTCCCTAAGTGATAGTAATAAAAAAATATACTGTGATACACTTGCAGTGCAAAATCTCATCTGCAAACAATAGTACCTTGGATAGTTATTAGTGCATTGCTATTAGAAGGACATCTTGTAAAAGGTTTGGGGAATTTTAATATTGCTGTTTTGTATTTGCATGTAACATTCTTAAAACAGGTAGATCACTAGCAAAGATGATTTCACTTGATTTTCAGATTAATGATCTATACTCATATAGGTGATATGTCAATTTTTTTTTTCTTTAGTTTAAACTATTTCATAATTTCTTAATGACTCAGGGACCACTCATAAGGCCATCATGATTTCTGAGTTGCCTCTTTCTAGCCTTTCCATACTCCTCCCTTGCTGAAGAGATGCTAACTATAATTTCTTTTGTCTGTGAACGAATCTGCAAAATTTCCATCATCTGTTCTAACTTGCAGTTTATACTCTCTCATCCACTAAAATAAAACAGAGTTATGCTTATTAGAATGGTTCTAAATTAAGAGTGAGTAGTCACTGAGTGAGGAAGGTCTTTCCATACCAAAATGCTAGCAGTGAATTCAGTGAATTTATGCTGCTATGAGGCCTCTTTTGTTCAACCTTTAGATATTGGTTTAGGATTTAGAGACTAGAGGTAGCTATAGACTTCAGATTTACTTGTTGTGATTACAGTCATTGATTTATTTTATATCTTTTACTCTTATTTGCAGTAGTAAAACAGCATGGGGAAAATGAGCATTGTTCTGGCAATAGGTGAGAAATGCTTCCACTACTTGTATCATGCAGTATTTAAGAACATCCACGTAGATCCAAATAAATTTGTATCGAAGGGATTTAATGCAGCACATCAATTACAGATTAATGAACTACTCTGTATAATTCAAGACCTCCAGTTTTATTTTTTAATATTTGTGGACTGGAAGCGGCTGAAATAATTACTTCAGTTTTCTACTTCGTGTTTGGCATGAGTTCTAAACAGAGCACACCCACCCCTGCTCCACCATGCACACACAGACCATACAACCGCCCACATAAACTGTGTCATTCATGGAACCAGTCTGAACCACCAAGACACTGGAATACAATCTTCAACAGCAGTAGATGTAAAGTAAATCCAGTTGAATAAAAACCTAGAACTGGGCATTCCATTCCCTTCATAGAGCACAGAAGCAAATGTGTAGCCAAATTAGCCTCCCATTAAGGACACAGTCTAGTTTTCAGTAGAAACAATCCAACTACTCTCCACTCTAAGCATCCAGTCTGTTAACCCCATTATTTAAATGAACTTGGGAAATGATGACACACACCTTTTTGTCCCTCCTCATCAGCTCTGAATTTCGAGGGGCAAAGGAAGTGGAATGCATGCTTAATTGAGGCAGTAAATACAAGGCTGTAGCAGATTGTTTTACTGTTAAATACAGTAATGAGTTTTTAATGGCCGCTGTCCAACATTACACTGGAGAAAAATGGTTTATTAGTAATAATAATAGCTGGCACTTTTGTCTTCAAAGCATTTTACAAATATTAGCTCATTAATCCTCCAGCTGCCACTGGGAGGCGGTGGTAACTGTTTCTATCCTCAGTTTACAGCTGGTGAAACAGGAAAACAGAGGTAGTAACCAAGTTTTCAAAAGCAGGTTTTGGGTATAGAGGTCAATTTCCAATTCAAACAGCTCCTATCCCTTTTTTTCTTTTTTTTTTAGTTTTCTGATTTTATTAACACAACTACAATGTGCACATAAACTATCCAACTATTCATTTTCTTTGCTGCACAGCCTGGCATTGGGATTGGTGACTCCGTTGGCCAGCTGGGCTGCTCTTTCCACAATGGGTCTGTGGTTCTTGGAGGAGACATTGTGAGCAATCTCTGCACGGTAGGATCTGTTGCACCTCAGCAGCCCTTCAAGCTCCTTGGCATTGTGGACTAGGAACTTCCGGAAGCCACTGGGCAGCACATGCTTTGTTTTCTTGTTGCTCCCATAACCAATGCTGGGCATCACGATCTGGCCCTTGAATCTTCTGCGCACCCTATTGTCAGTGTCTTTGGGCTTCCACCAGTCGCTCTTAATTTTGACATATCGGTCTGACGGGTGCTGGATGAATTTCTTGGTCCTTTTTTATTTCTTATTTTTATTTTTTTAAAGATTTTATTTATTTAATTGAGAGGTAGAGAGAAAAAGAGAGAGAGAGAGAACGAGCAGGGGGTAGAGGGAGAGAGAAAGAGAGAAGCATACTCCCCTCCCCACTGAGCAGGGAGCCTGAGTCGGGGCTCGATCCAAGGACCTGAGCCACCCAGGTGCCCCTCTCGGTCCTTTTTTAATGATCTTGGGCTTCATCAGAGGTCTGAGAGTAGCCATGATGCCAAGTAGGTGATGGCTGCCATCTCCACAGGAAGAGAGGACTCATATCAATTTTTATACATAATTGGATGGCATTCACTGTGATGACTGTCAGCCCTTTTTTGAGGGGTTAGTGGTTAAGGTCAAATCCAGTTTATTTGAACCTGATTCACAAAAGCACACATTAGTTGTATCCAAATTGCTCAATGGTGGTCCTTTAGTATTATTTCAAGCAAGTCAACTGTGTGAAAAAATTCAGCCCAAATCAATTTCATGCAGAAGCTTCTATACATGGAAAAAGTGGTCTGTTGAGACCCTTTGAAATCTAACCCCACTGAGAATTAATTGCTAGAGATTACAAAGCAAAATGGAATCAAGGTCAAACTTAAACATCTTTATTTGGGCTTTCTATTTTTATTCATTCACTCAGATCTCCTTTATGGAAAATAGTATACATCTCAAATTAGTGAACAATAGTAAATAATCCAAAGAGTCTATTATTCATTCTGATGTACTCTATAGATGTTAAAATTGTTATTATTTTTGTTTGTTTGCTTACCACTGTGGGCAATGTTTTCAATTTCTTGCCATTGTACAATGCCTTAAATATTTTAATCTAATAAATGAATTCTCCATTAAGTCATCAGATGCATTTTACAGAACAAGTTTAGAAAGTCTCTGGATTTATAACACAAAAACAGATGTATTTCTTGAGAAGCCGCCAAGTACTGTGCTCTAGAGAAGGAGACGTGGGTCAGACAAAAGTCCTATAGCAAATCCATTCCATCAAGTCCAAAGAAATGGGACTGGCTGTCTAGCCAAAGCAGAAAGCAAACATTTTTGCCTCTATTATAGAAAAAGGAGTTGGAATTCCTCAGCATCTGAGAATGCTACTTATATTTTGCACATTAAAAGATAATAATAGCATTTGCTTCTAAACACTCCAAACCAAAACACCAACTACCTCTCAAAATCCCAAATACATTGACCATGCCTAGAATAGCACTGAATTTTTTTTCCCTTCAAAGCCTTATCTTAATTGACAGCTGTTAATAAAGATAGTGCCATCATGATGATAGGTGTCATTTTCAAGAACAGTCAGGCTGGTATATGACATCTGCCATTGCCAACGATTTCTATATTAATCTGGAGTGGCAGATACTCACACCTTTGTGGAAATGCCAACCGTGTAATGCAATTGGTTATATATAACATCCAGATGTGAGGGAAATCCATGCATATTGATATGACAGAGCAACAGAAACATTTCTGCCAAGAAATAAGAAATGGTAATAAGGGCAAGCAAACACTTTGGGGAGGGTAAAGGTTGAATTTTACATATACTGGTGTCCAGGGACTGTTACAGAAAGAATCAGGCATCAAATGCTTTCATGACAAAATTTTGGAGAGAACACAAATGTCCTCCGCTCCCAATGTATCTCCCACATGGAAGTCCCTCACAATGAATTATTTGCATTAAAGCTTTTAAATAGTCTTTTTAAATGCTGCCATTCCTGGGATAAGTATGCATTTTCGGGTAATACCTTAAGAGGAATCCTTTGTATCTATTTTTCCACATGTTTAACTGAGATAGTGTAACACAGAACAGGTAAATTTGGATAAACAACAGAGACGGGTGCTAGCTCTTGATGAAGACTATAGTGAGAGAATCCTGCTCCTCAGGGGGGCACCGATGGACACTGCACACCTGGGGAATGGAGTCCAAGAGAGAAGAGAAAGGACATGCAAAGGACTAAATGTTTGAGCTTCCCCCAAAATTCATACGTTGAGACCCAAATTCCAATGTGATGATATTTGGAACTATGGCCTCTGGTAGGTAATTAGTTCATGAGGTGAAGCCCTCATGAGTGGGATTAATTCCCTGATAAAAGAGACCCCAGAGAGCTCTCTTGTGTTCCTGCCATTCTTATTGGGCAGATACAGAGAGAAGTCAGCCCGGAAGAAGGTCCTCACAAGAAGACCATGCTGGCACCCTGGTCTCAGACTTCCAGTCTCCAGAACTATAGGAAATAAATTTCTGTTGTTTATAAGCCACTCTGCTATGGTACTTTGTTATAGCACCCTGAACTGACACAGGGTGCAGAAGGTGTATGAGAGACTCAAAGGGAACACAGGGTGGCAGTTAGGGGCTTGGGGCTGGGACTCAGATACTTCTGAGTTTGAGTCCCGGTGAGTCCTGGCTCTGCCACTTCTAAGCCATACAAGATGACCTTGGAAAAAAAGCCCACTAGGTCTATGTCATCCAGCTTAAAATGGGTATTATAATAATAGTACTTTACACAAATCACTGATGCAGAGAATGCAAAATATTATTATAAACATGCAGTAAGTGGTAGCTATTTAAACATCAGCCTGGCACAGCCTTAGTCCTGTCTCTAGTATAAAACAATTATTCAATAAAAGCTTTTTAAATGACTTGTCAGTATATCATAGGACCTACGATCAATCAATCAATCAGTCAATCAATATATCATAGAATTAAAGAAGCTATGGAAAATCTAATTTCCTTATCTTTGGGCAGGGCTACATTCAGCCTTGGAAATATAACTGGTAATGTTTTCAATATTTCCCCTAGACTCATTACATCCTTCAGTTTATACATTAACTCTGATTTTTTTTTTTTAATTCATCAGCTATAACACATTTCTCTTTTGTTTCAAATAAAATCTAGGGGCGCCTGGGTGGTGCAGTCAGTTAGGCAACTGACTCTGAGTTTTGGCTCAGGTTATGATCTCAGGGTCGTAAGATCGAGCCCCACTCTGGGCTCCGCGCTTAGCACGGGAGTCAGTTTGGGACTCTCTCTCTCTCTACTCCTCCCCCTATCTGCTTTCTCTCTCTCAAATAAATAAATAAATCTCAAAAATAAGTAAATAAGAACATCTAAAAGCAGTAGTGTGGGCTATGAACTGGATCATAATTCAGGATATCTGAGCCTTAATTCTGGTTTCACAAACACTGCCTAACCAGTAATCAGACCCTGCTTGTTTTTTCATCTATAAAATGGGCTAACAACTTGTCCCTTTTTGTTCATCATGTAACTGTAAATGTCAAGCAAGATGATAAGGAAAAAAAATCTCTAAAATGCTGAAAGCGTCTAAATATTGCAAGACATAATTTTTCAATAGAAATCTTCAAAAGTAATCTTCTGAATGGATGGAAATGTAGTGTTGAGTGTGTCAGAAAAGGTCTTCCCCTTGAAATTTTTCATGAGATGTGTTGTTTCCTTCGAACACATCAGTACACAAAACATCCCATAATAAGCTGATATTCTGTCACTTTACATTCTTTAGCAAAGGTCTTTGATGGAGTAACGAACTGAATTCACAATCAACTCCAACTGCATCAAATGATCAAAAATCACCACATTTTTCTTACCTACTTGCCTTCCATTACACTGTGAATTACATCCCTTAGCCCCAGGGAACACAAATGCCTCATATCAGTATGCTACCAATGCATCCCTGATTATTGCTTCATCCTCTTCACCCCGATACCACTATGCCAAAGAAGAGGGATACCCCTCCGGAGATTCAAATGTCCAGATTACAGTGACTTTAAGCTGTCAGACTGTTATTTGAGGGTATTTCCACTTCACAGGCATTAACACCTGCAATCCTTAGCATCAGATTTACCACTTGCAGCAAAAGCTTTTGTTAGGGAAGAACCTCTGCTAAGAATGCAAACCTTTTACCATAGAAGCTATAATATGCCTTTTGCATCAGTCTCTCTGCTGTCTCAGCTCTCATTTTGGAAAGAGGAGATTATACAGGAGAATGGACAGAACTGTCTGGAGGTTTGGAGACTGCAGCAGAAACCCACCTCTGAATGGGAGCATGCCATCTAGGGCAATGAACGAAGGGCACAGAATGACAAAGGAAAGTAGAGGAAGATGGCTCTGAACACAAATTTAATGATTTTCCATTTTGTTCTACTTTTGGCAATTCAGACTTTCTCCTTCCCCATTACCTGCGTTCCATAAATTTTAAGGCTTAAGGTGTGCTGGATATTCTCCATTAACCTCAGGTTCCGATCCGTTCGCCACCTTCTTCCATCCTACTCTGTGCAGAGGGAACCATCTCCGCAGACCACTTCAACCAGGTTCCCCTGCCACCTGACTCCTGGTCAAGTTTGGCCACTCCGAGGAAGGAGCAGGTGGTCTGCATCTGCCACTTGACTGTGGCTGTTTCTTTACAGGTCCTGGCTGGCAGCCTTTTCCAGGCCTACTGCTCTCACCTCCTTAGTAACTTCTCTTGGCACTGTCCCACTGGATGAGGGGCAATAATGGCTCTTTGGCAGCCCTTGTTGGTTTCCCTCAAGCCTGTCCAAAAAGATGTGCTCCCTTCTTGAAACTCCCTTCAATTGCCTCTTTGAGTATGCTTTTACATAAGAAAAAATAAAAGTAAAAGCAAAAGGAGACCAAGTCTTACTCAGAGAAAACATAAAACTCTGGGTCATTTAAAACTGTCAAGGGGACACGCTACCCACTTCCAGCCAATGGCACTCTCCGGACACTCAGGTTCAATACTGTGAGGACATCAAGTTTTTAAAGATAAGTCAGAAGTATGAATTTTTATGTGAAGTCCCTGGGTTTTAAATGTTGGCTGAAATACTTCTTAAACACTCCTTGGGCCAAATAAAACACATATGTAGGCTAGGTTCAGTCCAAAGGACATTAGTTTGGATCCTAAATAGACTATGGTGCCTCTTCTTTAGGAAAAAAAAAAGTTCTGCTTTTTGTTGCAATGCATACTTATAAGAAAGGTGGAAATTCACATCTATACAACTTTTTCTTACACAACTATTTAGTCCTAAAAAAATAATTCTCTCTCTATCTCACTTGAAATCTCAAAGCAAAAGAGAAACATTCAGACTCAAAGTCACAGGAATCTTGGTATCTGGGTCTGTTCTAAATGTATGAATCTAATCAAATCACTTAATTTCAGTATGGCTCATTCCGTTCATCTGCAAAATCAAGATAATGACTTCTTTCCTACCAT